CTTAGAAATCCCTGGGTGGGACTAATAGTTAATGAGCTCGACTGCTAGTCAAAGGGTTGGAAGTTCAAATCTACCCAGAGGAGCCCCTGAAGCTAGGCCTGGTGATCTACTTTTGAAAACTGTTATGGAAAACCCTAGGGAGTGCAGTTTTACCCTGACATATATGGCATCACCACAGATAAGAACAGACTAGCAAAATACATAAATAACTAAATAGACTAGCAATAGCCATCATCTCCTGAGCTTCCATAAGCCGGGTGCTTTGATAGACCCTTTTCATGCAATAGCTCAATAAGTACTTATAACAATTCTAAGACATTAACTCTTATTTTACAGACCCAGAGTGGTAAAGCACCTTGAGCAAAAACATACAATTAGGAATTAGTAGCAAGAATTTTTTACTTCAAAGTCCATCTTTTCATGGAAAGTCAGCTTTAATTGAATAATATATCATTAACTATAGGAAATAAATGCTTTATCCTCCAAAAACAACCAAAAATTAAAATGTAATAATAAAGTGCAATTGCCTACTATAAGGCACGCTGCCCAACAACCAGACTAGAAGTCAACTTAACCCCAATAGCTGAATCTTGTCAATGTGGTATTCTCAATATATTTCCAAGTCATTCTGAACCTCATCTGCTGCTGTTACACTAGAAGACCCTTCTGCTGTGAGCTACCAGAAACTAAGGCAGAATTCCTCACAATCCTACTTCTTTTGCAAGAGATTTTAATATTGGTGGTACAATGCTGCCACCGTGTGGAGCAGGATTCAATAGAAAATGGAACAAAAATATTCTGTATGAGCAGTAAAATAAGGAGCTGGTGATGCTGGGGTTCTTGGATACTTGGCTGCAAAACAAAAGGTTGGCGGTTAGAACCCGCCAGTCACCTATGGGAGGAGAAGGGCGCAGTCTGCTCCGATTAAGACTTAACGTCTTGGAAATCCTATGGGACATTTTATTCTGCATATAGGACGACTTTGTGTTAAGATCGATTCCACAGCAACAGGGGTTTTGTTTGTTTTTTAACCATCATGAAAGAGGACTGAAGATTTTCATAATGAAAGATTTTGGATAATTAATGGACTTAAGTTCAAAATTTTAACCATTTTAAGAAGATGACAAATCTAAGTATGGCTGTATATGGATATACGTATGTGCACATGTGCGTGCACACACACACACACACACACACACACTATTATATATATGAAACGACATGAGGCAGCTTTAGTAAGTTTGTGGGAAAATGGAATTGAAAGATAATGACATTTCCCATAAAGTTTTTGAAGGCTCCTTGTAAAGTGTATGATTCAAAACTAGGTCAGAATCTTAGAAATATGACTACTTTAAGGCAACCTGGTGTCAGAGTGGGTTCTATGCGGGGCTGCTAACCAGACGGTCAGCAATTTGAAACTAGCAGTTGCTCCAGGGGAGAAAGAGGAGGCTTTCTGCTCCGATGGAGACTTACAGCCTCGACCCCCCAGGGGCAGTTCTCTGTCTTACAGGGTCCCTACCAGATGTCAGCGAGTTAGTGGAATCTTTGAGTTCATAACTTTGGGTTCACTTGTTGAAATAACCTCTACTTCACTGGTGGCACTATGATTAGGAGTTGAGCTTGATGGTCACACCCACCTGCTGCGCTGTGGGATAAAGAAGAGGCTGTCTGCTCCTGGAAAGATTTATCGTCTCAGAAGCCCTGTAAAGGGTCATTGCTTGAGTCAGAATCAACTCAAAAGCAGTGGATTTGGTTTCCTCTTTCTCTCTCTGTTTTTTCCGGGCAGATCTAAGAATTTAAATATTTTAAGTAAAAACATCTACCACAGTGCCTGGCACAGAAGACTATTAAATTTAAATTTTCCACTGAGATGTCTGAGCTATCAAACCTCCTATTCCATCATGAGACTGTGGATTTATGTAACATTCCCATGCTCGTTCTTTCCTAATATTTAAGATTCATTCTTTCCCTATCAGCAGGATTTGACCCAATAGTTCATGCCATCGATACCATATGTTCTCCTGGATTTTCCTCTTATCTCAATGGCCACTCCTTCCCTATCTGCTTTGCTGTCCCTCTAAACTTGGGAGGGGTCCTGAGTTCTTTACTGTCCATCTACTTTCATTCTCCAGGTGATCTCATCTAGATCTATGGCTTTAATTCCCATCTACATGCTGCTGACACGTTATATATTGAATCATACACCGCAAAATGATGTGTTAAAAATCTCAAACTCTTTGCCTTTGGTTATAATCTCATGTGGGAATGGCTCTTTGTTACTGTTCATGAGACAAGATTAGTGGTGGGTGTATCTTTAATCAGTCTCTCCTGAAATGTACAAGAGACTAAACAAATGGGAAAAGCATCTGAGATAGAATAAGAGAGGCCAAGGCACATGAAGCTAACCCAAGAGCATCTCAAAGAGACATGGCCAAAAATGAACACCTGTTCTCTGGACGTCTTCCTCATTATCAGGAAATGCAACTCCATCCTGCAGGTGCTCAGGTCAAAACACAATGGAGACATTCTTGGTACCTCTGTGCCTCAGCTACAGCTCTATTCTTGTCTCGTTTGGTGCATACTGCCTGCGGCCGTAAAGTTTGTTTGTAAGCTGCCATCCAAGGTACAATTGGTTTCTATTCTGTTTGAAATCCTTATAAATGGGAACGAGGGGGAAAAGATAGGTAAATTATGACTGGCATACCTGTTAGATCTGGTGACTATAAAGGGGTTCATTTTATTCACTTATTCTAATATTTTCAAATTCCCATGTTTTACTATATACATTTTTACAACTATAAAGTTTTTTAAATGCCTGGAATAAAGTATAAATAAAGAGCAGACACATACTATTGGGTACCATGGACTAGATGAGATCCAGCCCTTCTTTACAACATGAAAACTTTGAATAAATCAGATAAATTAAGCTCTTTTCTGAATCTATGCTCTCAGCTGGAGTGTTTCTGGATAAAGATCTTTCAATGCTATTAGGGTAAAAAAACACAAAGAACAATACCCTCACAGCTTAGTCCACAGTTAGCCCCTGATCTTCTAGTTTTATCAATTCTGCTTTGAAACATTTACATTAAAGGTGTCTTTTTTATGTAAATGGGAGTTGCCACTATTTTAGCCCCACTAAATTTTGAGTAAGTTTCCACAGGATACAAAATCCTGCTCATCCCATCAGTGTTAGGAACCCGAACATTGAAACTCCTCATTGACTCTTAGGGACGGCAGCAGTTCAAAGACAATTACTCAAGGTACAAGAGTAGCCCCAAAGCAATGAGAGCAGCACAATTTGCACCAGCTGGAGAGCTTATAAAATGACGGTACTGCCTCATGAACCACTTAGTCCACAATGGACAGCTCCAAAGTGCAGCAGCAGTGGTGCCGGGGAGCAGAAAGGCAGGCTACATCTTCCACCTCTGCAGGGTCAGTGTCGGAGTCATGGCATAAACGTGTGTGCATGTGCACAGAAACGTACCTCCATGCCAGGAGACGGCTAAGACATCTCCTACGTTAGTCAGTACCACAAGCACTTGCAGGGGTTTTTTGGGCGGGGGGAATCAAAAAGTTGGTTGGGTCAAAAGATCCTGATTCGGCATTTATTCAACAAACTTTTTTTCATTTTATTTGGGGCACAAGTACTTTTTATTTTTTGTTGTTGTTGTTTTAATCATTTTATTAGTGGCTCATACAACTCTTATCACAATCCATACACACATCAATTGTGTAAAGCGCATTTGTACATTCATTGCCCTCATCATTCTCAAAACATTTCCTTTCCACTTAACCCCTGGCATCAGATCCTCATTTTTTTAAAAATCATTTTATTAGGGGCTCATACAACTCTTATCACAATCCATACACACATCAATTGTGTAAAGCGCATTTGTACATTCATTGCCCTCATCATTCTCAAAACATTTCCTCTCCACTTAAGCCCCCGGCATTAGGTCCTCATTTTTCTCCTCCCTCCCTGCTCCCCCTCCCTCATGAGCCCTTGATAGTTTATAAATTGTTATTTTGTCATATCTTGCAAGTACTTTTTAAAAACGTGCCTTACTTCATCTTTTGACCTTAAATACAAAACTTGAAGAACAGTAATAATAAAAAAGGTGAGCCAAGGCTACCCAAGGAGTATGATACACCAGTAAGAGATGTCAAGGCACAGATCTGAGCTGATGATTTGAAAGGGATAGCGTTTGGTTCCAGGCAAATTCCAACTGTCCATTTGAAAAAGCACCCCCCCCCCTCCAAAAAAAACCCAAGAGGTTACCAACTGATGAACTCCAACTGTTAGTCACCTCCAAGTAAACACTGCATTAGGCAAAAAGGGAGCACTTCAAACTCAAGAAAGTAACTATGTTCCTCCATCCTCTGGGTAATGATTCTTACTGACCAATACCTCAATTCAAATGAACTAGTTCCAGCAGAATCATAGTACCACACGGGACCTACTCCCTCCTTTGCATTATATGCAAAGTTTGAGAGGCCTATTAAAAGATCAAAAAAAAACCCACTAAGGTGTATGTCTGGCTGCCAAGCATTCAGAATTTAAGGCTAGAAGGAATCTTGTCCTAGAATTCGCTTGTACAAAAATGCCTTATAATAATTGGGCAATAAAGATGACTCTGGTTCAGTTCCCAGTTCTATACCACCAGAAAATACCGCTAACATGTATGTGAAGTAATAATCTTTTAAAACACAATAACCAAAGAAACGTAAGGGAAGACCCCCGACAGCAACTATGAAAGTGCTAGTTTGTGTCTGTAGGGTAGGTACAATATAAAGGTTTGCTTTGAAACCCTTATGCTTCAATGCTTGGTTCTCACCTCAGAAAGACCTAGGGTAACAAACTATAATCCATAGGACACACAGAATTATGTGTCCACAGCTACTTCCTGAGCAATGTCTCAAAGATAAGGTTGTTTGAAGAATGCCTTTTAAAGGGACTCATATTACACGGTGCTCTCTTTAGAAAAGCAGAAGAGGCTTACCATTGGGTTTGAATCTGCTATGAGATCTCGCAGAGAGTCCAGGAACCCCTGATCTTCCACCATTTGGGCGTTGATGTCATGGAGCTTGGCCACACACACGGCGGCCGTCTTCCGCACATAGGGGTCTTCATCCTTTAAGCACTTGCGGAGGGGCTCACAGAGATATTCTGTGATCTTGTCCACCCGGATGCAGCCCATGGTTCTGACTGCCAAGGCCCGAATCAACGGATTGGGATCTTCACAGTCCTACAGAAAACAACCATCACAAGTTATAGGTGTGCACTCCATGTGCGCACAAAAGAACATTTCATCATTTAGAAGTTACCTAATACCTTCTAGTTATATTTCATATGGAAACCCCAAATCTCTCATTCTACTCTAAGAACAAATCTGCCCCCCAAAAGTCTTTGGGCTGGTATTCAGGTGCCATAAAAATGAGGCACTGGCAAGACTACAGTCAGTCCACAGTGGATCCATTAAGAAACAGGTAGAAAACAGAGCTGGATTTCTGGGACCTACAGCTAAGCAAGCAAAGGAACGCAGGAGCTGGTTTGAGCGGGACCTTCATTCCTGGAGCTAATGCAGCGGAGAGGGCCTCAGAACCCCCTGTCCGTGGCACTCACCGTTCACCTGGCCTACAACTCCATCTACTGAGCACTAGAAAGCCACGCGGAACTGTGGTTCCAAACGGCACAAAGTAAATGCTTTCCTAAATGATAGCCCACCTATGAACCATGAGATGAAGTGTCACGCTCTGTCTGATTCTGTACAGTGTAGCTAATGGCGGGAAAAGAACAAAACTTCCCTGAGATGACAGCATTTTGGTTATTTTTTTCAAAACAAACTGATAGAATTTTATTTTATTTTTTGCAGACCAAGTTCCAAGCCAGGAACACAAGTAGTGAAGACACTATTAATGGGAACAACTAATAAACCCAATGTGCTCCTTAAATCTCATAATAGAAACAAAATATCACTGGCCATTTAATAATATTAAGGAATTATGTCAAAATTTAAGATGTAAAATTGCACTGTAATGTTTTAAAAAAAGATCTTACTTTGACAAATTTGCAGATGATGAAATAAAATGCTTAAGATGCTTTTAAAAAAGATTATCCAGTAGAAGTGAGATTAAGAAAATATGTATGGGGAGTGTAATTAAGTAAGAGTTGCTGTATGTCAGTAAATGCTGAAACTGCGAAATGAAAATTTAGCAACTTATTTCACTATTCTTTCTAGTTAGGTATGTTTAAAATTTTCCATGCTAAAAAAATTTAATCAAATGTTGTAAAATCTATTCAATTTAACAAAATCCTAGTATCTCCTACAGCGATCATTATTTTTGACCCTTCAGCCTAATTTCTATAGAGATAAAATAAATGGAGAAAAATACTTCTTGTAAGACTACAGATCAGCTTTATTATTATCCTTAAAGGGAAATTTCAAGAAACTTCTAAAAGGGAAAACAAGGAAAAAGAGACAAGAAAACAAGTAAAAGAGCCGACATCTTTATTCACGGCATTAAATGGTACAGTCCTAAGTTACTGATACCACAGTGATAGGCTCACAGTGAAGTTTCATCTGCCTTTCTCCTACCCTCTGGCAAGGACGCCCCAAGCTCCCCATGGCAGAAGGCTCTCCAGATGGTCTGAGCGTCCCTGGGTGACACAGTGGCCTACAGAGCACTTCAACTACGGACGCACTTAAGTCACTGCCACGACCCTTCCCTCCAGGCCTAGCCTAACCAGAAAACATCTGGAAGAGTGATCTGAGGTAAGAGGCAGCGTTGCTGAGTTCTCGGGGAGTCACCTTCACAAAGCTGTTGACAGCCATGATGGCCATGTCTGGCTGACTCTTGGCATAGTTCATCAAGTAGAGATACACGAGCTTCTTTAGTTCCAAGTTGTCAGTCTGCATACAGTTCACTACATCTGGAAAGAGAGAGCTGAAAATACAGCCAAGTGAACAGAGGCTGATGCCAAGCCATTTGACAGAACATAAAGCAGTGGCCTTATTTTACAAAGTGATTTTGATGCAAGGACAAATATCCCCACAGTGGCAATTAATATGAAATAATTTACTAAAGAAATTGTAATACTTGTCCCCAAAAGGCCTCCAAAAATAGATTTTAAAAAATCTTTTATTTTGAGGAGACAGAGAGAGAAAAGTATGAGCCCTATCACTTGGCTGTCATATGGATACCTGCCCAATCTGCTTTCATCCATATCCCCAACACACTGTCTCTCCATCCCCATCCCCATCCCACCCAGCTGCTCAGGATTCTTTTTTTTTTTCAGGATTCATTTTTAAACAAATCGTTGCAACCATACATTTCATCTATTTTAGATTACATTCTTAGGAACTTTTAAAAAATCACAACGACGCTACATTTAAAAAATGTAAGCCTCTTATCATCGCAGTTCAAAGCACTTAATATTCAGAGTTCTACATCTTTGACCAGTGGAAGCTGGTTCACAGTTAGCTACATTTTCAACAGCTTCCTTACTTTCTGGTACAGCAAGATGCTTCGTCCAAGAGCATTTTGCACTTTTCTACTCTAGACCAGAACACTCATTTCTCCACGAAGTTTTCATCTCGTCTCACTTGCCTCACTCGCTGCCATGGAGCCGATGCTGACTCACGATGACCCCCTCTGGGCTTCTATGAACCTCGGTGCTTTCTCACTGGTGACTGGTGGCCATGTGGATCACAACCCAATTGTACAACCACTACATGACCCAGGCTCCTGCTAGTGGGGTTTCAGAGTTGTTTTACATTTACACATTCAGAAAAATGAGAATTTGAGTATCATTAAATCTAAAAGAAGCTTACATCTTTAAGTTATAGTCATTTCTTGATTACTCGTACCATTCTTCTAAAAAGCCACAGGAAAGAAACAAACGTATGGTTCCATTCACAAAGTAGCACCAGAAGTTTAGAGTAAGAATGTTACGGCTTACTGAATTTTTAAAAGTAGGCTGCATTTAAAAAATATAGGCTAATAATCATGTTATGGGAATTCAGCAATTAACCTTATCTCTAAGGTTTTATTAAAGTACATTAGAAAATTTAAATACTAGTACAGAAGAGAAATAAATATTAATGTACTACTGAAAAAAAGAATTACTGAGATAACTGGTGACATGGGATAGCTTCTGTTTATGTAAAAACAGAGTCTCGAAATGGAAATGACTTATAAAAAGGAAGAGAGACCACAAGATAGAGATCCACTGCCTCTCCAATGAGCCAATGACTCTGTCTTGGAAGGCAAACTCTCTGCTTAACTTGCACTATCTAGCACTTCCTGGTGCAGTCAGGTAGCATTGGGCTGTTGGGAAACTGGCCATTCAAACCAACCAGCCAATCCAAGGGAGAAAGAAGAGGCAGTCTTCTCCCATAGAGATCTAATCCTGTCAACCCCAAGGAGCAGTTAGTTCCACTAAGGCAACGAGTTTCGTTTGGGTGGTACTGTACCTAGAATAGTTTCATGTACATACAGCTAGTTAGTAAACACTCATGGAAGAGCTTGTCTACCAAGCTCCTAACAGGAATTTTCTTTCCATTTCCCAGGCAAAGAGCTCATGTACAAAACAACAACTGTAAAACCACTAAGTAAATGTAAAACATTTCATCAACAGTATTTTTAGGATGTCAAATTATTTAATTCGGACAACCTGCATAAGACTGAACAAAGTCCTAGAGCAGTGGTTCTCAACCTGTGGGTTGCAAAACCCTATTTCCCTTGGTCTTAGGAACCACGACACCGCTCCTCTATCTGTCTCCAGATGGTTCGCCCACATGCAGATACACCCACATACGAGTACCTGGCGTGAAGACTGTGACCCATGCTACACCACACTTCAAGACACAATGTCATTTATTTGTCATTAGAAATAAATATTTCACAATATATAATTACATAGTTTCTGTGATTCATCACCATGCTTCAATTGTAACAATGAAAATACATCCTGTATATCAGATATTTACATTATGATTCATAACAGTAGCAGAATTACAGTTGTGAAGTAGCAATGAAAATAATGTTATGGTTGGGGTCACCACCACATGAGGAACTGTATGAAAGCGTCACAGCATGAGGAAGGTTGAGAACCACTGTCCTAGAAGCAGACACTGTTAGTGTCATCTACAATGTTACACACCTGTGCTGTTGATAAGACAGTTACTAGTTACTCGTGGCTACTGAGCAATGTGGCTAGTGTGAACTGAGATGTGATAGCAATGTAAAACACAGTGCATTTTGAAGATTTCATAGGAAAAGTAATGGCACTTCAATGTTTTATACTGATTACATATTGAAATGATAATAATTTGTATATAATCTTTTAAATAAAAAAATATCAATATAACCTTCATCAGATTCCTTTTAATCTTTGAATATGGCTATTAAGAAATCTTCCATTACAAATGTGTTTCAAATTACATTTGAAATAGAAAGCATTAAACTAGGTCACTTGCCAGGGAGAATGAACTATGATGATCTACAAATAGCTGCTATTTATGCTATTTCTCTAAGCTTTATCGTCTAGGCACAGTTTAAATCCCACCTCTTTCAAGGAGGGTTTTTCACAATTCCAATTTATAAGACTTTTTATTTTTGTAAGTTTTGCTGACAAGACTTATGTATAATGCAATTCAATGGTTTAATCATATTAAAAGTTATGTATACAAGACTTTCTTTTTAAGAACTCTATTGCCCTGAACATATTTTTTAGCATGTGATTATATAACTCATTACTTCCTAATTTTTCAGTTTTGAGTCTCTTCTATTAGACAATGCATTGCCACAAAGGCTGAAATAGCGACTCTCCCTTTGCATGCGGTATAGTGCCAGGCACATAATAAACTACTGTCAGTTAGCAGATTTACCAGTGGGATTTACCAAACATACAATAGGAGTTTTTAACTTTTCTGTAAGATACAAAAATAAACTTGAGACCCAACAGCCTAGGAGAGCGACGTGCTTACTTGTACCGGTGCCCTCGATCTCGGCTGTCCCTTGGAAAAACAAATAGTTTTTTGGTGACCAACTAGATCATGGGTAGGCAACGACACCTATTTTTTTTAAAGCCATGAGCTAAAAATGATTCTTCAGATAACATTTATAATTTATTTGGTAATAGATAATACAAACTTTGGGCTCCAATTAAACAAATGTTATCTTTCCTCCACTCAAGCAACTATTAGAAAACTGAATCAAACAGCACATTAAAGAGATTATACACCAAATGGAATTTATACCAAGAATGTCAGGGTGGTTTCACATAAGAGAATTAATGTAATACAACACATTAATAGAAAAAGGCGATCTACACAAAAGGTACTTTGACAAAGATGCCCATGATCACTTCAAATGATGTAGAAAGGTATTTTGACAAAAATCCAACGTCCTTTCATGATAAAAACTACTCTGAGTACTAGGAATAGAAGAGAAAACCCTCAACATATAGTTAATGTAATTCATATCACTGAATTTTACACCTTAAAAATAACTAAAAAGGCAATTTTGGGATATATGTTTATTTTAGTATACTAAAAATTATACATAATTATTGTTTGCTTTCTTTTCACCGATATTCCCTTCTAGCCAACTAACCTACATTAATTTACCACCTGGTAAAACAGAAAAGTTTACTGCCTTCTGAGAGAGACAGCCAGAAAATATTAACTTAGAACCACACATGCCTATGTGCTAACACACAAAAAACGGTAACAAAACCTACCTCAGACCACTGGCACCTGGTGCCTAGGCTATCACACTCCAATCCTGCCACCGTGTCCACCTGGGATCCAACTTCTCTTAGGGAGGAGCGCTCAACTGTGATCTCGGGACCACTTTCACTCTGAAAAATTACTGTTTAGCCCAGAGTGCTTTTGCTTACGCAGGTGCAAATGTCAACACAGTGAAGCAGGCACATCACATCTCACCTAGTGTTAGATTGTTTTGACCTCATGGACCATATGAAATACCTGGGACACAAAGACAATCCTTATTTCCAAAACGATTTGCTAAATGACAGAAACAAAACAAGACCAAATGGATTGTGCTCGCATTGATCTTCTTCTTGAAGCCAGCCTCTGAATGTAGAGTGGCAGCGTAGAGGGCACTGGCATGCGCTAACTGAGGAATACGTGAGCTTCTAGCTCTCAGCAGATTGTTATCGTTTCTAAAACTACTCAGCCAACAAACTGTAACTGTGCCAGCTCTCAGGAGGTTTGACGCTAGGTCTGTATGAAACAAAATCAGACTCTTCTCATTCTTATAAAAAAAGAGTATTAACATAAAAGCAACCATGCCTCTTAATGATGTTTCTAGTGGAACAAACTCATTCTTACAGAGTCTATAATCAAAATTGTTTTCCTGGAAAAGCAGGAGAGGCCATCAGATGGGGTGGGGTCTAAGCGACCACAAACAGATGTGGTGACTCTTACCTAACATCCTTTCCCACGGTCATTGCGGCAATCACTTTCTTCACAGCCTCCTTCCTCTTCTCTTTTTTTTCATTGTTGAGCTCAGCCTTTAACTCAAAGATTTCTCCTAAAAAAAACAGAATAACTATGTGTGATCGCAGGACCAAATAACTCGTGAGAGCTGGGGCATTTTTAAACAGTTCAGACCAGACTAGGCAGTCATATTGGTAAGATTCTAAGCCTTACAATGTTGCCGGACCCACTGATAAAGACAACACCAATGACCTTTAACCCCATCTTAAGTTATGGCCAAGGAAGGTACAATCCAGGCCTTCAGAAACGTTAAGAGTGAGAAAAAGCAAATCTTAGCCAACTTCACTGGGGAGTGAACTATATTTCAGAGCTGATATCCACCAAAAGTCTAAGATGCTGAGAAGGAAATAAATGTAAGCAGAAGACAAAGCATTTTAAAACAAGAAGAGTTTCCAGAGTATTTTATTCACACATACCTATCTTTACAGATAAAGAAGATCACAGAATAAGTTAATGACAGAACTGGGCTTAACTGTTGACTCTCAAACCCAGAGATTTTCAACCTGGGCCACACTACTCCTAACCGCGAAGTATGTAAAACTCACAATTGTAAGGATCTGCTCTAGACCAAATAAATCAAAGTATCTACGAGAACTCTTCAGTTCATATTTTGAAAGCTCCAAAAGATTCTAATACACAGTCAAATGTAAGAACCACTGGTCTAATCAATATTTTATGAAGTTAATAGGCTTTCAGGTCCCACCCTAGTCAATGAATCTAACAAGAATAATGTCTGTGAAGCTTAAGGGTGGTGCCAAGCAGTCCTCCTGGAAGTACAATCTTGAATGACTGCTCAGGCCCTGACCTGTGAGGTGCGTACGGCTAATCTATTCTAAGGTGCAGAGCTCCAGGATGACCCATCTTCAGGAAGCTGGAGCTGAAGTCAAAAAAACAGAAGTTTACTCAAGAAAGTAAAAAGATAATTCACAGATTGGGAGAGAACTTTTCTGTACCACCTATCGGTTACCTAAAACATATATAAAACTTCTATAATGTAATAAAAATACAAACGGCCTAATCAAAAAATGGAAACAGGACCTACACGGACAGTTCAAGTGATCACTGAGCATATGAAAACACACAGAACACCATTAGCCACTACCTACCACCACAGACTCTACCCAGCTGATAGAAATTCTACAGCACAGCGTAAACTGCCCCTTAGGATTTCCCAGACTGTAAATTTAGGGGAATTAACAGCCTCATCTTTCTCCTGCAGAGCACATTATGGGTTCAAATGCCTGACCTTGCAGTTAGCAGCAACCCCCAAATGTTTCACTCACTGCCCCAACAAGCCTCTTTTAAGTCACCATTCTAAACCAACCCACTGCCATGGATTCCATCCTGACTCAGCAGTCCTAACTAGGACTGTACATCCCCCTGAGTGCACAGAGGCTCACTTTTCTCCCTCAGAGAAGCAAATGGGTTTGAAAAGATTTTAAAGGAGAGGGGGGAGCGGGGAGGGAGGGGAAAAATGAGGAGCTGATACTAAGAGCTCAAGTACAAAGAAAATGTTTTGAGAATGTGATGGCAAGAAATGTACAAATGTGCTGACTCAATGGATGTATGGATGGATAGTGATGAGTTGTACGAGCCCCCAATAAAATGATTTTTTTTTAAAGCACAGCCAGAAAAACTAGGCCCTCTAGACTAACCCCTAGGTTGCCAATCCTCATTCAGGTCTCTGGGTCCCATCATTAACTAGACTAACCCCTAGGTTGCCAATCTTCATTCAGGTCTTTGGGTCACATCATTAATTTCTGGGAAAAAGAAAAGACCAACACCAAGACGTCGTCAGAAAGTGAATTATGAGTAGCAGCAAGAGTAGCAGAATTAAAATGGATGTAACCAAAATTATCCTAGCCGTATAAGCTTCAAGAGTTATGTTCTGGTAACAGTTCTAGTGGGCGTTGCAGGAAGCAAAAGGAACACAGTCTTAACATGTTTTTAAATGTCATTTTTTACGCAGCAGCGATTCAATCTGTAAGTCTCAAATCTTAATAAATCTCTGAATGTACAAAAAAAAAATTACCACAGCAACCTTACAAGAAAAGGTTTACAGAGGTAGGTGAGGTTTAATTACATCCCTTAATATAAATGTAGACAATCTCTTGTTCATTTGAGCAGCTAACGTGTTAACAGAAAAAAAGAATACACTCTTCAGAATGGGAAGAAGCTGAGAGCTGAAAATGAGTAACCAAACCGAACTGAGGACACTCCATAAAATCGGGCCTTCAGAATACAACATGATCACAAAGGGCACCGAGGAACTGGTCCACATGAAACTAAACTCAGGAACCAGACAACAAATGAATGAGATCCCTGACCGAGGGTTAAGTCTGTATAATGGCCATGACTGAACCTTTGAATACGGTCTGTAGAGTTGGTGATAATGATGTGTCAATATTTAAGTTCCTGAATATGCTAAAAGCATTGTGGTTATGTAAGAGAATTCCCTTGTTTTTAAAAGATATATACGCAGGCACCTTTCGGGCACCTTACTATTCAATTGTCAGAGAAAAAATACACACATATATTAAAGAGTATAACATGATAATTGTGGCAAAATACTAATATTTGGAGAATTTTGCAAATTTCTTTTAAGATTGAAATTATTTGACAATTAGAATGCAAAAAAAAAAATACACAAAGACAAAAGGAGCACCAGCATTTTTTAAAGACGTTCAAGCCTCGTCTCTCTCTCTCTCTCTCTCTCTCTCTCTCTCTCTCTCTCTCTCTCGTGGTTTCAGCAAAGAGAGCTCCCTGTGTGAGTTCCTTGTATGTATCAGATCCCTCCTAAGCCTGTCCATGAAATGCACGTTTGAAGAGATCTGAGAGATTTCATTTGGGGATAGTCTTCTCCTACGACTACCAAATAATCTCAATGTTTTGATCAGGAGGGTCCATGTTCTTTTTGTACTACTTAATTTTATTTTTTATGAAAATAGACACAGCAAAACCATACTTACCTTTTTTATTCGTTGTGAAGTACTTGGAGTCAGTCATGGTTTGGGATCTTTAATGTGCACCTACATTAAAAACAACAAAAGAATATCTTTATCCAAATTACATATGCCTACCAAGGCATCCAATTAATAATTTAGGACAAAACCCATGTATACCACACTTAGCAATTCCAGGGATCCAAAGGAAACTAAGATAGTAAGTCCCGGGACCTTAGAAGCTCATGAATGGCTTACCTATTGGTATTTCCTTCTCCAGAGGAAAGAGGAGTGGAAAAGGCAAAGATGCAAGGAAATAATGAGCCCAATGAACTAAGGGCCCACACCAATAGCAGCCTACTGCTGTATTCTGAGACCAGAAGAAACAGATGGTACACAGCCACCCTTACCAACTGCTCTGTGAAGAAAGTCTCAGATAAAGTGGGAGAAAACTGCTGAGCAAAACTCAAAATCATCAAAGGCCAAACTTACGGACTAAACCGACTGGAACTCCCTAGACCAGCGGTTCTCAACATGTGAGTTGCGACCCCTTTGGGGGTTCAACAACCCTTTCACAGGGGTCGCTAAGATCATCGGAAAACACGTATTTCCAATGGTCTTAAGAACTGACACCACTTCTCTTCTATCCTTCTCCAGGTGGATCTGCCCACATGCAGGTACACCCACCTACCAGTACCTGGAGTGAAGACTGTTCCCCATGCTACACCATGCTTCAAGACAAAATTTCATTTATTTGTCATTAGAAATAAATATTTCACAAAATATAATTACATATTATTTTTGTGGTTTATCACTATGCTTTAATTATGTTCAATTTGTAACAATGAAAATACATCCTGCATATCAGATATTTACATTATGATTCATAATAGTAGCAAAATTACAGTTACGAAGTAGCAACAAAAACAATTTTATGGTTGGGGGTCACCACGACATGAGGAAGGTTGAGAACGACTGCCCTGGACTATGATCCTTGGGCTCTTTAGCAAATCCTTTAGGTCTTGAACTGAATTTCTCATGTGGCTCAATTTTCAGCCAAACAAAAGACAGGAGAACAAGAATCATGGTTGAGACTGGATACACGTTTGTTTATGTGTTAGCACAAGTCCTGACACTCTGAACTTTAGAACAAACA